GAGGGAGGGAGGGAGACAGAGAGAGATAGGGCGAGAGAGAGAGAGAAAGGCGTTGAAAGCATCCCATGCTAGCAGCCGTAGGTCTTCAACACAAACCCCTAGGTTCTGACCCAACATGCCCGTTCAGACAAGCTTCGAAAAGGCTGTCTGCCCGTTCACCCTCTTCTGCGAAGAGCTCCCCGTCATACCGCAGATGAGTTTCCTTAAATGCTGCCACACATCAAATAACCCTGACGACATGTGGTTCCTCTTTCTGCCAGCTTGATTAGGTGGGAGAACTCCAAAACGATGAGCCGAGCAATTATCACCCTCTCGCGTTCTCACCTTCTTGCCTGCTTGCCTGCTTGCCTGCCTGCTTGCTTGCTTGCTTGTTAGGGCTTTCTTGCGCCAGGGCTATGGTGTAGGGGTTTGACCCTTCACCATGTACAGGCTTTCTAAGGCTCTCTCTTTTTTTCTCTCTCTCTCTCTCTCTCTCTCTCTCTGTCGACTAGGTCCCACCTTCCCCGCACACGTGCATACCTGCAGCTGTCTTTGCAGGTTTCTCTGTCCTCACACGGACTCGAGTCGATCATGCCGTGAAGAAGCAAGTCGTCATGTCGTTATTCGACACAACGAAACCACCTCACCCGTCGAATGTTTGACTCTACGACTCTGCGACGGCTTGGCTGTACTGCACTTTCAGCCGTGGCATGGTGTGCTTTCTGTTGCCCCTTACGTACTGCTAATCCCCCGCAAAAGCCCGTCTGCTGGACCACTCTGTCTCTCTCTTTTCTCTCTCGCTCTTGCTCTCTTGCTTGCTTGCTTGCTTGCAAAGCGTTTGGGGTCGGGGATGCGAGCTCCCCCCTCTCCGCTCTCTCGCTCTCTCTCTCTCTCTCTCTCTCTCTCCTTTTTTTCGCCAGGGCTAGGGGCAAGAGAGGCAAGCCCCGCTCTCTCTCTCTCTCTCTCTCTCTCGCTCTCTCTCTGTTCCTCTCAGCTTGTAAAGGAGGCATATGGAGGCATGCACGCAGCAGTGCACACCTCCACACGACGTCACGCACGGATCTCAAGTCTGTCCTGTTGTCTCTGATTTGCTTTTCGTTTACAGGGGCATAGGCTGCTGGCAGGAACAACGCACTCTCTGGGGTACTCCGATTCCGTGCTCCCTCTCTCTCTCTCTCTCCCTCCAGGGCATGGGGTCAGCGTTTCCGGGGAGTGAAAGTCGAGCATAGATCATCATACGGCAGTGTTGCGTGCTCCCTCTCTCTCTCTCTCTCTCTCTCTCTCTCTGGCTTGGAGAGCGGTCAGGCCCGCCCCCCGCTCTGTCGAGCTGTCTCATCCACCATTTTGGACGCATGGGCTAGACTTCACCTGGGCGCGTGCCTCGGAGATTGCTCAGGAGGCGTGCTCTCTCTCTCTCTCTCTCTCTCCGTCTCTCTCTCCTTGGTGCTTGGCCCTGCACATGTCATGCTTACATACTTCAACCATCCCTTCCTTCCTGCAAGAATCCGAAAACAGCGAAGCATCTCGCCAGCTATGCACGCTCTGGCTCTTTCTTTCCCCAGGGCTGTGGTGGGGAGTTGCCTCCCCACCGCGCGCATGTGCGCCCCCACCTGTTGTGGGTGCCAATGGGATTAGGATGCATGCAAAACCAATGGAGTGCTCGCTCAAGAAAGACCGCACACATCACTACGGAACACGACTCACAACTCTTTTCTTTCGCCAGGGCTATGATGCAGGGGAGCAAGCCCCCCTACAACTCACAACTCTCTCTCTCTCTCTCTCTGCCAGGACAGAGGAGGAAGGCGGTCGCTCTTTCTCTCTCTCTCTCTCTCTCTGTCTCTCTCTTCTTTCTGCTGCACCACTCCGCACGAACATGCCGTTCATCAGGTTTGCTGAAGATTTATACCAGAAGTGTTTTCGGGTTTTGTTGGGTTTCAAGGCCTCCCGGATCACGTGTGGCAGCTGCGTCATGGAAATTACCCCTCATGTCGCTACGACGCTGCTGTCGTCACGGCAAATTCACGGACAAGCCAAGAAAAGCACTCCAAGTTCATCGGCATGAAGAGACCCCATTGACACCGTATTTGTGCATCTCGAGCACCATTGGTCGAATGAAGCGTTCCATGTCCTTACAAAAGCCGCAGCTTTTGCACGGTCTGTTGGATCTATTCTCGTTTAAGTCAGCGGGTCTACACAAGCCACCCATCTTGCAGAAAAGTCACTCTGTCGCCGAACTGCTTGAAAACAGTCGCACCCCTGCCAGAAGGATTGGGCTATGTGAGTGGGCACTTCCAGTGTCAAGCCGAAGAGATACGGCGTTGTTCACAAGCGGAACTTTTCAGTGGTCCCACAAGCAGGCGGCCTCATGGTGTCGAACAGAATCCGCTCCCATGCTGAGTGCTTTGTCCACAGCTTCTCCTGACAAAGGAAGTACAGACCGCCTGGTGCCATCAGCACACGTCTGTGCGACCACATTGGTCTAGCACCAAGCTCGCGCATCAAGTTCAGGCATCTTGCCTGTGCGCATCTCGCATCTGTATATCGGCCACATCAAGTGCAGAAGATGTCAACCCCACCGCACCCTCACACACCCTCAACTGTTTCGGAGCAGTCGACGGGCGGCTGCCGCCGGTCCCTGACTTACACTGAATCGGCGGGGTGTTGCTGCCTCTGCCTTTGAGTCGACCAACTGGCTGGCATGCTGCCATTCACACAGAGAGGACCTACGACGTCTGTGACCAAAATTTTTTAAACGGAGAAGTCCTTGTAGTAGCCTTTCGTCCATGGCTCGGCACAGACACCGCCACGTCTAGGCCGCATAAACGGCTGCACATCGATGACCTGACACGGTCACAAAGACTAAAGGGGCGTCGACAGATGCCCATGCTGAACTAGCCTTGCTGGATGCAGAACGGTGATGCAGAACCACCCCCAAAGACATGTACCAACCGCACAGGCCTCGTCATCCTCTTCTTCTTCATCTTCAGAGAAGAAGTCTTGGCCGAGTCCAAAGGACTGGGTCCTGCATCAAGCGCCGAACTTCGCACCACACGCTCTCTTATGGACTGACACACGCTTGCTCCACCTCATCCTGTTTGGCAGACAACTGAGGCGATCGAACTTTAGCACTGCACACAACACAGCTGCTGTCCTGCCGTACTTTGTCGATGGACTAGAAGTAGGATGGGGCATGACCCTTGGAGCATGTGCTTCACGGGATGAACTTCTTGCTGATGTTCGAGACATACTGAAGTTTCAGACTCAAGGTCCGAGTCAAGTGCATGATCTGCCGTGAACCGCATGTATGCATCTGGGGCGCACCGACGAGCGCGCGGTCTTAGCGCTCCACTGCCATAGGCTTCAAATCCTTCAGGGGCTCTTGAAGCCAGTTGTGCCGAGTCTGCAAACAGTATCTCCATCATGACGGTTCGACGGACACTGTCTCCGACACCGGACGTACCGGCTCTGATGCCACCCTCCCAAAGTCCCCAACGTCCTCCTGCGAGCAAGGACGCCCAGTGCCCGCGTTGTTGAGCCAGGCAAAGCTTGCGGTGGGCAGGTGAAGTTCCAACATGAAAAGTCCGGCTGCCGCTCTTCTAGTGTTGACATCTGTTGACGAATTTCGAATGATTACTGAGTAGTTGGAGTGGTGGTCCGGCGTGGCGCGTTTTCAGGATTTACAGAGTCGGGCAACCTGCATGCCTCCGAATGCCTCCATGGGTGCACCTCCCACCTGGTCCCGCTCCACTCGGACAGTGCCGAACGCCTCGGCAGCAAGAGGCGCGCAAGCACGGCCACAGGCACACTGCACCCCGCAATCCACACTCTCGCAATGTTCGCTACTGCCAGGTTCAGCAGCGAGGATGCAAAACTGCAAGCATGGAAAGCATCTCCCCATGAGCCTATGCATGGCTGAGACCTGCACCCCGCGAGGGAGGGCTCCCTCACGAACTGCCACGAGCGCAGTGAGGGGTCAGAGCCTCCTCTTCAACGCGGGACAATCGGAACTTCAACATGCTTCGCTTCCCGTCTTTCGAGTTCCAGGCCGTTCGATGCCAACGACCTGCAGGACCTCAGAAAGATGCGCCCATGTACCGACGGTTTCAATCGTCCATGTGCCACCGTGCCACAAATGCCTTGATCAGTTGCGAGTGTTCGTTTCTAAGCGGCCCGTTCAGCCGTTGGCATGCAAGTCTCAGATTTTCTGGGCTGTTGTCCGACGTGCCAAGAAGTACGCAGCATGTGCCAGTTCATACCATCACTCTGCTAAAGGCCTAATTTACTTTTCGACACAGCCCAAAGGTAAAGAGGCAATGAGACGCGACGGGCAGTGGATGTTCCTCTCGCCCACACGTGCCACCAGATTCCCACAAGCTAACAAGCACACAGCTCGCAGAGCTCATGAGCTTTTCTCACTCGCTTGTTTTGCGGCTTGCCGCAATACTTCCACAACCTGCCATCTGCAATGCAAGTCAAAAGTCAGACGAGCAACTCTCTCTTCCACGGGGCATTGGGGACTGTTAAGGTCCCCCGCTCGCCCCCATTCGTCATGGGGCTTCAAGATTCCTTTCTTTCCTCAGGGCTGTGGTGCAGGGGTTTCCCCCAGATTCCTCTCTCTCTCTCCGATTTCGCCCCTGCTAACGATTCACGACGAAGCATGCAGACGGCCCCCGACATCTGACAAGCGCTTAACTTGTGCCATTCGATGACCTTGCTGTTCAGTGTGCCCTCGGCATGGTCAATAGCCCTTTGGCCATTCTCATCCACGGCATTTACATCCTCGGGAAGTTGGAAACGCAAAAAAAAGAGCAGCAAAAAGACTCGTGCTGACTTGACCCATGCTCTTGGAGTCTTGTCTTCAGCTGTAAACATAGTAGTCGTGGAATCGCAGTCCAGCGGCAGCTGAGGATGCGCATAGGACCTTCACGCAGTCGATCTGCTGGTTCATGGCAGCGAACCTTGCTACTCGAGGCTGCCGTCTCTTCGGACTAAGTTGCCTAGAAATGCCCAGGTACATCAGCGGCGTCTCCCCCCTGGTGACAACAGATCGGGGACCCTGCAAATTGCTGATGGCTTACAATGGCAAAGAAGCCGCCAGCCTCTGCGTGTGCGCTTCGAGAGGGCACTTGTGCTGGATCAACAAGGAAACGAGCTCCTGCACTGGCACAGGAATCTCGTTGAAAACAGGGGCAAGGCACACAGGGCATCCATGCACAGCATACGTGTGCAGTGAGGCTAGGCAAGACAGAATGAACCCAAAGCCGCAGTTCATGTCGGCATTTCGGCCTGAACCTACAACGTAACACAAGGAAAGATTCTCAGCGTGACGGACACCTGAATGTTGCAGCAGGTGCGGTAGATGCTTGCGGTAGCCCTGCATGAGTGCTTTAGTGCTTGTTGGACATAGTAGATAGTGACGGAACAGTTCCGAGAGACGTGGCATAACATTGTATGACATGACATGACCTCAGGACCTAGGGCCCAACATGGCAAGCATGTCTCGCAAGTTCCCCCTGCGAGGCAGCACGAAAACAAACTTGCGCAGAAAACCACCTGGCGTTGCAGGCGTTGCATGCTCCTGTGTCGTGGAGACGACCAGGGCTGGCAGACTAGAGCCGGCGACATGTGGCTCTACTTTGCCGTGTTATTGTGGCAACAGGCCGATACCACGAGCAATGTTAGCACTCGAACTCGGAACCTTCGGCATGAAAACAGCCTGGGGACCTCCCGAATGAAACGTCAACGCAGCACCCAGAATCAGAACATGGCATCCTTGTTGCCACACTGAACGGCGCCAAAAAGGCCGTTTTGTCCGTCTGCATCCTGGTGCTCGATCTTAGCCCGGGCAGCCAGAAGGTCCTGGATCGGGCAGATGCTTTCGTTTGCCGTGCGACCCCACTCACTTGTGCGGGGTGTGATGCTTAGAAATGTCCAACCGCATGGTAAGATACCTGAGCGGAATCTCCGGCCAAGGCTCCGCCACGATGGAATCGCGGCCGACTGCGCACGCCAGAAGCAGAGCCGTCTTGCCACCCTTGCTTGGCAGATCTACCTGGAACAAGGCCCGAGAAACGAACCGGTACGACTCGAGGGTGAGACGACTACGACATAGTTCAGGTTTTGAGTGCTAGCTAGCTAGAACCTGCATATCTTCCAGACCGCGCCTTCGCATCTCGGCTGAGGAGGCCGCGGACTACCGCCGTATGCCTTCACAGGAGCTGCACCAGAATTGGCTTGTCCAAGTTTACATCACGAATCTGTTCCGATCGAAACAAAACTGCGCCAGTGTACCCCATGGCCGCTGCCCACATAAGGGCAGTTTGGTGCTCAGAGTCCAGCTGGTTCACCTGACAAGAAGAATCGATTTCTGCTTCCTCTACCCAAAATGTGGAACTGTCGGCTGAAAGACTCGAAAACCACCGCCACACTACGAAGCTAGGAAGGAGGATGAACGATAACGATAATACACAGAGACCGTAGGAGCTGCCGCAGAAGGCCAATAGGTAGGTGCAAGAGGGGGGTCTTGCGAGGGGCGCCAAATAATGGCGTAGCGAATGGTCAGGACCTGCAACGCAGGTGAAGGAAAGGGCATGAAGCCCGAAGAGCAAGTCCAGAACTGCAAGGACCAGACAATGGCACTTTTCAGAAAAGGCCCGGATATGGATCCCAGCAACCTCAGAGCTGCCCTGTAAGCCCCAACGGTGGTGAAAGTGGCCTTCGCACCCTCTTCCAACAAGAAGTCACACACTTCCTGACGGCAAAATCTTGAACCTATTGCTGATCGAGTGAACCATCATCTCAAACAGTCTTCGCACAGATCCCGTCACTGCTCCAAGCACAATCAACAGCGCTAGATAAAGCCGTCTCGCCGGGAACTGTACGAGAGTGAGTACATGCAGACTCTAGAACGCACAGAAGTGAACCAAGAGCAGCTTGGCTTCCCAGTGCCCGTTTGCTGCGGCTTTCATCAGCGCTGACTCACCGCGTTCGGTCACCTGTCCCGATGGCACACTGTACAATCGAACTGCTCTGACTGGAAAAATAGCGTGACAGAGCCACATAGTCCGCAGCAGCGTCATAGCTCTTGACGAGCATGTCCTAGGAGCATGCACCACTGATACTACATTTGCCACGGCCAGGCAAATTCTGCAGGCAGGGTGCGCAAATGTCAACATTTCCGGCCAGTGCTGCCCACATAAGCACCGTCCACCCGTGGTCATCTTTTAAGGTCTCAGCAGCGAGGACCAAGCGAATTCGACATGTAACACACGCTGCTCACACGAGTGCACACTGTTGGTCATCCATTGTCAAGTCCAAGCGTCCAGGGAAGCTCCTTCTTCGATCAACTGGCGCGCAATTTCCTAGGACGAAGCTCGAAGCCCTTCTCAGATCACAGGGCTGCGGCACTCGCGGAAAGCTGGGGAAAGCTTACAGGCATACGGTCTCGAATCTCTGGCTAGGCTCAAGCTCATCGCTTTCGGCGGCCTTCCTTGGCTGACTTTCCATTACACGTCGCAGCACCACTGTGACCAGATGCTTTTTGCAGGCAATCTGCATGAGCGCCGTCACGCCTTCGTCATCTTTGACGTCCAGCACGCGCTGCTTCTCGATTTGCAGAAGCTTGGCGCTGTCGGAGCCCATGATGCTGCTGCTCTTCTTCCCTCGGGTCCCGGCAGAGATGTGCTTTCTGGGACGGCCCACATCAATCTGCCAAGCGGCGTTGCAGCAACTGCGCATCGATGAGGAAGCGGATTACATCAACATGCCCGGATTTGCCTTGATCATGGGGTCGCTCTGTGCGGACAAATGTGTCAACACCGCAGCTAGAAACCGAAGCAAAGGCATCACCACACTCGGCCAGGCTGCAAGCCTTCATCAGTGCAGTTTCGCCCGTATCATCTTTGGCAGAGACCCGTGCGCCCTTCTCCACTAAAAATTTGACGACCTCAGCATGCAGAACTCACTTACAATTGGAATGAAGGGACAAATTCTACAACAAGAATCCTTTTGCAAGCCAGCCACGTGCATGTGGCCTGCCTCGGCGGCATACATCAAGGCACATGAGCCTTCCGAGTCTTTCTGGTCCACTTTGACCTTCGGCTCCTGGAACAATGGCACGTGGTGTGCACTATTCGTGAATTTGACAGCGAAAATAGCACAGGTCAGCTTTTCCAGTGCCACCACAACATGGGATCTCCCGTCCGTCAAAGCCCGCTGACAAGCATCCACCGAGCCATTTTTGGCAGCCTAGCTTCCGACCATCGCAGCATACAGCGCAAGCAATGCAGCAAAAAGAGCTCAAGCTTTTTTTGTCAACTGACCAAGCACAACCGCACTGGCCTCGATAAGCGGGTGAGTTGTCACGGTGACACCTTTCCCCTGGTGGTTCTTCAAGGCAGCAAGGAGGTTGCTCGTCATGGCAGGCTGGTCGCACAGCTGAAGTGAGTTGGAAATCTGCGCCCCTTTCTTGGCATGTTGTAGCCCGGTTCTTTGCTGCATGTCTCCGTATTTCCTGGATGGATTCCTGCTGGTGGCAATTATCGCTGTAACAAGGCTGGAGTGGGGCTGTTGAGGGCTCTGTGGCTCTGAGCAACCGCAAATCGAGAAGGAGCCTATGCCAAGCACACAACGACGACTTCCCCGAACACTCCCAGGCAACGACGTGTGCGCTGAACAGAGGAAGCGTTGACAGGAGATCGAGGTATGCCAAAGCTTAGTTGAAACTGGGGACCCCCTGATCAGGCTTAGTTTCACCGTCTCACTCTGAGGCCTGCTCTGTGCATCCTCGGAAGAGTGCGGCGACCGTGGGCCCTGGCCATCGAGCCGGAAGTTTCGGAGTTTGACGAGCCTTCGAAACGAAGCTAAAGAGGTTACTTACACTTTAAGGCATCGAAGCCAAGGTTGGGATGCCACGAATTGCAAAGCTAGATCTTGCCAACTTTGAGCAGCTTGAATAGGCAGGATCAAGCATAAAAGCCAACTAGTCTGAGCCTCGGGCTACCTTTGCAAACCAGGTATAAGCGATTAGAGGTGCTTACCACTTCTTGGTAATTTTTTCTCAGTTGGATTCATTCCCGTGCCCTCAAGATGATACGAGCATGACTTAAACAAGTAAGGATTTAGAAAACCCATGGAAACCAAGAATATTAGAGAATCTGCTTCGTTGAGAGGCAGAGCACGCGGCGGAAATCCGAAAATGAGGTGAAACAGATAAGCCGCATGATAAATTAGCTCGTGTTTGTATCTCCAGTCTGTTCAGCAAAACAAGATACCTACAAGCATATTCGACTGATCATTCCGCTGTGTTGTATTGTCCATCCACTTGGCAAGTGGGGGGGATAATGTACAAGTCCCAAAAGTTCCTGGTAGGGGATGTGCCAGCCGCTCGGGCAGAAAAGCTAGGCAACCCGGTGTGTCATGCAGCACGTTTCCGGAAGTCTGCCAAAGAAGACCTGTAACAGCTGCCACGGTTGGCCGGGGACTGTGACGAGTGCGCTCCTGAATGCGTTCCAGTGGCTGGCATCGCAGGCCGTGCCGACACGCATCGATCGTGACAGTCCTCCGCATTGCTTCGCAGTCGGCGGCTATGGCGCTACCTGACGTGACATCACCACTCACTATGCCTGTCAAATGTGCGATGCCCTGAAGATCTCGGGGTTGCAACTGATCTTGTCTGAGGCGAGCGCAAGCAAGACAGCTTCTGAAGGGTCGGGCAGTGAGCCAATAATGCTGTCGAAAAGACAATGGCAATTCTCTGAGTCATACCCTGGAGCCCGGTGGAACTACCGAGCGAGATGAAGCCGCCGAAGTGTCTGAGTTCTCAGGACGACAGAAGCTGCTTGAAGCCTTCAAGGTTGTCCGTTTCCAGGCATAATGCCATGGACATGCCGCGGATATCGTCCGGTCCGGCAGGAGTGTGAAACACCATGAAACATTGAAATCTCACAAGGCCCCAAATTTTCCGGGGGTGGCATGTTGCCACTTGCACCACATCTTGGCCCTTGCGCTGTACAAGAGATTCAGTGGTCAACATTTGTCAACACGAACCCCGATAAGCTGCTGTCGCGTGTCTTTGTTGCCCAAGTAGGCAAGAACAAGAATGAGGACCGTTCAAATCCTGTGGCCCTGATGGTCACACACTTGTCAGAGAGGAGGCCATGAAGCCGACTCCGAAACGGCTACTGCAGAATCGGACTCTTCAAGACTTTACGTATTTTCGTCGGGCTCAACCATCGCTGTCGTCGCCACCTGGCCATGGTCGTAGGCCAGTCGGCTATCACTCGCAGACATCTCCAGTCTGTACAAGTACACTTCGCATCGACGAAAGTCATCTAAGTAGCGGTTTTTATAGCCGTCTAGCGCGTGACTGAAGTGAGGGCCGATTTTCCCGCCTTCGGCAGCGCGCCTCAGCTTTTTCGATTCACCACTCACGTGAGGCGGCAGCAGGAGGCGGAGAGGAGTCAAGTCTGAGTCAAGCTGCGACAGGCTCTCCGAGTCGGAGCCACCAGAGCGACCCATAAAGCTGCCGGCCTGCGGAGCTGCAGAGCTCAACTCATCTCGACCCTAAACCCAAAGTCTGACATGGCGCAACTTTTGGTTGCGGAAGCGCATGTCTTGCCCATGCCCCTTTCCGCCCGGAAAGGAGAGTTCCCAATTCGGGGGCAGCAACACTAAGAAGAAAAACCACGTTGGGGGGTCCGGTGGTGGTACGTCCCCGCCCCTCGTCGATGGAGGGGAGAGGGGGTGGGTCTAACCCCCCACAGGCTGAGTCAGCGCATGCTGCGTTGTGGGGAACTACGCCAGAAAGACAAGCTGAACGACCCTCCATCAACACGACGGCAAGTTGCAGCGGGAGAGTACCGGCAAGCGCACACAGAGAGGGAGCAAGAGACAGACAGGAGATGCAGGACATGCAGGATAAGGCAAGTTCAGGCAACTCAACACAATGCAGACAAGGCGAACAAACAGACACAGAAACAAACAAAATTCGGGAGCTCGCCACGGTGCCAGGTATCCAGTTCAGCTAGCAAGGCAATCTCGAGTCTTGGGTTCACCTCCTTTGACTGCATCGCGCTCTGCCTGGCTGTTGACTTTCATTTGCCGGTTCGCCCTGTCTGCAGAACCCTGCAAGCGTCTCTACCGTGACTGCTCAACTAACTTGCAGATTCTCCCTTTCCCGGTCTCCCAGAGCCTTGTCGTTATGCAAGAACATTTGGATGTCGCCGCGCAAGCTGGCAAGTTCTTTGAGCCTCAGTGTTGGCGTCACACTTCAGCTATGTGCCTTCGGAGGGGCATTCTCAATGTACCGGTCTGCAGACTAGCTGCACGGTGAGGCTTGAGTCCTAACCAGACTCTCAACAGGCCATGGAGTCATGGTCACTGACCTCTCAGCCTTGTAACGGAATGGAAGCAGTGAAGTTTCTCCAAGGTCCGGTGTCCTCTGCATACTGTTTGATCATCTTCTTCGTCGCGCGGATCCTTACTGTAGGAGAGCGAGCACTTTGAATTTTCGAGGTTGCGCACCGGACCCCATACCTGTACGACGGTAAGCGAGTCAAACGGCCAGACAGGCACATCTCCTTCGACATGATTGACATGCTGACTCCTTTCAGCGCTTGGCTTCACTTGCCCCATTCGGTCAAGGCACTGCTCCTTGCAGTCTTTGACGGTTGCTGGATTTGTTCCGCGCATGCTGAGCATGAGCTCGACCTTCACACACAAACTGAAGAAGTGCTGCGGCTCTAGGCTTTCAATCTCATGAGCGCATCGTTCATGAACTCGACTGCTGCTTCGATCTAAAAGCTTTCAACGAACAAGCAGACTACTTAATCATCCTCTGACACACTGCACATAAGCGTAAGCCAAGACACGATTTCTGGAAACGTGATGCCATTATCACCTGCATCGCCATGTAAATCAGTCGCGGCAACGTTCAATCACTGCAGGGGGATGGCAAATCGTGTCGACGAGCTGAGGATGCAAGGACATCATGCCTCCACTGCAAAGGTGCAAGACATTACAACGCTTCGTCCTTAGAGGCACCTATTTATCAATGCATCCAACCACCTACTTATCTATCTTATCTTGTATTGTCACCTACAGTGGGTTGTCCGAGTTCAAACTCATCAGGGACCGGACTGCAACTCCAGCCGCCTCTTGACGGCCTTTGTGACATTTAGTTTAAGCACCTTTTTCTCTCACTCTTACTACTTTTTCGGTCCATCACCGTCGTTTGCCCCCGTTTGTCTTCGAACGAGGTGCGAAAGGCATGGCAGGGCCCATACTTTCGCATGTTAGCATTGTTGAACATGGCGTCCCCGTTATGATGATATGCGGAGCAAAACACGCAAAAAAAACTCGATGTTTCTGCGCGGCCGATGTTCTTGATTTCGGCAGGGAAGTGCAGCGGCAGGACGGGATGGGGAACAGGACGATAGAACCCCAGCAAAGCCTATTGCAGCTTTTGATCGCTCTGCGATGATCCACAGCAAAGTATGGTGGCTCAAGTCCACCCTGGGTTGCTTTATCTTGCTATTGCTCTCGGTCGTGTTTTGATGTCCGGAGAAGAGGAACCTCTCGTCTAGTTTCGTTGTCAAGCACAGAACTTTTTGTCGTAGCGCAACATGGGCATGCACACTGTAAAAAACACTTGGTGCACTTCTCGATGTGTGCGTGTCATCCTTGCGCAGGGGCCATGCTGAAGCTTAAGGCCAGATGCTGCGCAATGTGTTCTTCCACCACGGTTTCGAACAATGTTTGAAGAGCATGGGAGGGCCGATACTTTCGCATGTTAGCATTGCTCAACATGGCGTTGCCATTATGATGATATGCGCAGCAAAAAATACTAACACAAAAACGATGTTTCTACGCTGAAGCATTTGTTGATAAATGGTTCGGGCATGGATGCACAGGCCAATGGATGGGTTGGCAGCATGGACGTGCATGGATGCAGTGGCCGAAGGATGGCTTGGTAGCATGGACATGATCCTGGTTTGGGCATGGATGCACTGGCCAATGGACGGGTTGGTTGCAGGGACGTTATCATGGTTTGGGCATGCCGATGGATGGATTGGCAGCATGGACATGGCACGATGCCGACCTGAGCGACAGAGAAGCGGGGCAAACGAGGGTGATGGAGCATACTTTTTGCGTTGCAACCACGCGACCTCAGCGCTCACTATGACCTTCTGGCTTCCCGCACGGGTTACGTTGGTGTGCGCTCGCTCTTTCGCCACGACCACTGCAAGTGTAGGGCCAGTGCTACTGCTGTTGGCTCTTGCCAGTCCCGAGTCGGCTCCTTTGCTGACTTTTTCAACAGCTCCAAAAGCCACATGCGCGCACCTTTCGAGAAATCCTCGTAAACCACATCCTTGGATGAGAGCTGGCAGCAAAATGTCAGTTCGGATTATTAGGGCGGCAAGGTGCAGGGGCGGCGGAGTTGGCTCTAACGGGGAATTCTGGCACCGAGGCTTCTGGCTGCAACCCGGCAACCAACATGTCCGCCATGGTCACGACATCAACGCCGGAGTCTCCGGCAACTCGTCGCACACCTGCAGTGCAAGTCAATTTCAAGTCTTTTCTGGCGGCGAGTCCCCGATCCAGTTTACAACTATGCAATTCAAATGCAAACTGCAACACCACTGTCGATCCTCCTGACATGGCCTTGTCATCTTGCTGCTATGACAGGCTGTTGCGAACTTCCACTGCTTCAATCAGAACGACAACATGATATGACGAATCGCCATGAACATGGTGGTGTTCGCCGTGATGGCGGTGCTGTTGATGGTTTGTGACGACGGCGGCCACCACCTCACAGTAGTAGCAGCAGCAGAAGCAGCAGCAGCAGGGGCTGCAGCAACGGCAACGGCACCCAGCAACAGCAACAGCAGAAGCAACAGCAGAGTCAACAGCAAGCACAAAATCATCCGCATAGAACGAAACGACGGTCGCTGTCAGCCCAGCGCCTGGATGGACGATTATCTCAGATTGGCATGTCACAGCAAGCGTCTGTCTGTGCCTGGTTCCATCATGAATTGTGCGAACTCCTCCTGTGTGAGGCAAACATCCTGCAGCAGCATGACAGATACGCCTTGACACGGCGATCCAATCGGAGTGGAGTCCTGATGTCGGTTGGATTTGGCCAGCTCTTCCCTGCAAGGCTGCACTCATGTTGAGACTGGATTGACAACTGAGAACTGCTGCGGAGCTGATGCAAGCCATCCGTTCGACCCTGCCTGAGTTCTCCGGCAATGAAAGCTGTGGCAAGCCTCTCCTGCGCTGGAGGGTGAGCAGCAACATGCCGGTTGGGTTCATGTCATGGGTCGATTCGGATGGCAGCAGCACGTGAGGCATGCCACGCGGACTGACTGGCACCTTCTCTGATGCAGACACAGCGCTCATCACCTGCAGCCAGTGGACGATGCAGCCACGGATGCACCAAGACCCACAGACTCAGCTCGCAGCATCAACCAAAACTCCCAACAGCATGTACATGATGGTGAGAGATGCCTTAGCATGGCACTCAGGTCACTGCGTTCTACTAGTTCGCGTACTTATCTAAACGTTTGTTTGGTCAGTCAACTTTGTGTATGATTGCGGCTTTTGACTATTGTGAGACAGGGGTGCAACTGAATAGGCCAAGTGATTCGTCGGCTAGCTTAGCAGTTTTCCGCAACTGTTCTAGGCCGGTGGTTCTGAGGATCGACCTTCAAAGTTGACCCTGTGACAAGCGCCTGGGCAAGGAGAGCAAGGGCTCGGATTCAGGACAGAAAAAAGCAGTCCTTCTGGAGAACTGCTCCTAGTTGCATTTCTGTCGGTGTGGTACTCTCTTGGTTGACCTAACTTGGATCCGGCATGCGTTGGCTGGCTCCCACCTTCCTCAACCTGGACTTTTTGATTAACGCTTCTCCCAGGCATCCCGTACGTTCGCACTTTTTCTATGCAGTTGCCATTGCAGCCTTCTTCTTCTTCTTCTCCAGAGCTGTAATGATGTACTGCCCTGTTGGGGACTTCTTGAGGTCGTGCACTGAGGCCTCGCGATTTGTCATCGGCGACTTGAGTGCCACTTCCCTTGGCCAGCCCGCCTCGAGGCGCTGGCAGAGGGTCTCCCAGTCAGCACCGCGGCTGTACTCAATGATCCGCTGGACCGTGTAATTGCCGAACCGGTCCTGCTGTGGCCAAGCTTTTTTGAGCACCTGGCAGTGCCCGGCACGACACTGCCCGCACCTTCATGAGCTTCGCAATCGGCGCCGTCGGGTCCGAGGGAGAACCGAGCATTGCCTGCATCAGCGCAGACCTCGGTTTTCCAGCCGGAATTGACTTCAACAAGGAAGGAGGCCGCAAGGTGCCTCTCTTCCGACAGCTCGTCGGCGTGGACGCCGATTGCAGTGATTTCGAAGCACTTCTCAACCACATTGCTCGATACCTCTGCATGACGTCATGACCGACGTGCATTTCGAGTTATTGCATCTGATCCCGAATGCCAGCCGCAAGCCGAATCGCGTTGCGCCTTGTTTTTGGAGAATTCCAGCAAGCTTTTGGTTATTGCCTGACCACGTGGTAGCTGCATCCTTGAAATCACCCACGGAACCACGCCTGAACAATTTGCCGCTTGTCCTTTTCCCGTCCTCTCTCAAGGACGCATTGGATAACCTGATCCAAACACAACCAACAGGATCCCAAACGCACACTTCACACTTCCGAGCCACATAGTTCGCATGGCTGTCCTTCAGGAAAGGTCTACACCAGGCGTGGTACGAGGACCCCGGAATCATTACAACCATGAAAAGGCGAAGAGCATTCCTTGGAGAGCTTCCCAGCCGAGGCGACGATCGGGTCCAGGACCGAGGCCAGCTGCTCTGCATCGCAGTTCTCCAGGAGCCTCTGAATGATGCGGCAGCCATACCTCACAGGCACGACGACCCATGCCTAAAAAGAGGGTAGCTTCACAGTTCAGCTTCTTCGAAACACGCTTGGGCACATGTGTGCTGCCATTTCTGCTGCCTTTCCAGCTATGGCAGAGATTACGAACTCTATGTCGTCTGTGCTCAGGTTTTCCACAACCTTCTGGACCACGTGGTTGCCTCGGCGGCACATCAGCTACCATCAGCTCGGCTGCACATGACCATCGCCCTGATGCTTATCAGAAGCCTGTCCTTCCAATGCCGAGGCCTCAGGAACTACTGCATCTGGTATGCGGCAGTTACACAGTATACATGCGAAACAGCATCGGTCCGGAGCCGATGCAACGATCCTCGTGCTTGCCGCTGGTCGTGAGCTCGCGTAAACCATGCTCAGGACTGTTGCGCCAAAGCCACAGCTGCTTAGCGCTTCTTCCCCTTGATAACAAATACGATGCTGCGATTCTCATGTGCCACATGCTGCCTGACCGCAGCTTGTAAAAGTGGAGCCACCCCCGCACCCCCGCCTTGCTATACAACGAAGCCGCTTTTTTCTCGGTTGCTTTTGCTTCTTGGACAGGGACCCTGATTCGCTCGGACAATGTTCTGGGAGCAGAAGGCTGAATGCTCTGAAGCCCGAAAGACATCGCTTCAATGAATTTCCCGGCTAAAGTCCGTCGACAAGCGCAGGTACTGGTAGGATTAGACCAACTGAAAAATTGTCGACTCTCCGGGCCCGCGGCCATGCATGTCGTAGATGCACTGGACAATAGTGTCCGCAAGCTCGGCAGCAATCGCAAACTTCTTCTGTGCAGGCAGAACTTCCAGCATCTTCTGTATCACCCGGCAGCCGAACTTGTGCTCAGAAAGTTCAAGGACCTGACTAGCTGATTGGCGGGATCAAAACGCAGGTGAATCCCGGTCAGCGCTAGAGATCGGAAGCTTGGTTTCGTGACGTCAAAACAAGAGCAAGCGAGGAGCAAAGCCATGGTTGCCACCGAGCCGCATGGCCCTTGACCTTCGAGAGCATGACCTGGTCAGGGCCAAAACCCCTTGCCTGCATTGGGCTCTCCGGCACCGGCCGGAGAAGAGTCTGCGGTCCGTCTGGGCATGTCTGGCCATGTCTGGCCTCTAGCTGCTCGGCGGTGCCGTGCTCAAGGAGTTTTTGCACCACAAAGTTGCCGAAGGCGTCGCTTGCCAATTTCACCTCTCGATACCCCGAGGTCGCACCGCCCACACATGCTGCAAGCCATGCGAAATCATGCGAATCTCAGGAACACCCTGGTCCGGCCGTGTCCGCCATGGCCAGATTGTAAATCTTGGCCTTTTCTTCTGCACTGCAGTTTCCAGCCAGCTTCCACTGCAGGAAGCGGCTGCCCTCCTGTTCCTGCAGGCCGCGTGGAGACGCAACTTCGACACGGAACTTGGATGTTACCCTCAGTCCTTCGCAGCTTTTGTAAGCCGCGGGAACACCTGGAGCACAGGAGTCTGAAGTTCACGTTGCAGGATGCATCTCTGCTTCTGCTCAATGCTGCATGATGATCGCTGCGACGTACAACTCTGTTGATTGCCACCTATGAATGAGCCTCCATGCCCTCGGCAACAATAAGATAGAGAGGAGACAACCCCACAGATGCTCCTCTGCCAAGGTGAGGTTGATATCTGCCCCATTGATGACGGCGCTGTCATCGGGAGATTCGTCCCGCTGTTTCTTTCCCCGGACCTGGTCCTGTCAGGGACATCAACATCAACAGCAATGGGCTCTCGAATTACGAGACGCCGGAAATCGAAAGTCAGTAGCAGGAACAGCTCATACCATTTCCGCATCTGCAACGAGCCGTGAGAACACATGAACCTGCCTATCCCGACCTTGTTCTTCTTGGAGCCCTTTCCCCTTCTTGGTGAACGGCTCCTTTACGCTCCCACAACTCGGACAAGCCAGGCGAGGCTCCGGCATGATACTGACAGATGGCTAGCTTGGGAACCATGAAGGACTTCCCAGCATGCAGAGGTACTTCCAAGGAACCATCGAGGCCCTTCAGAAACCTGAAACTGAAGCTTCGAGATTCGTGCCTACGTTTGCAAACCATAAAGGCGACGACATTCTGAAGCTGTGGTCGGCGTCTCCTGCGCGAAGGCTCCCTGCCAGCACTTTGCAAAACACCGATTTTCCAACTGCTGATGCCACTGGCCCTGGCCTGTCAGATGGCGTGGGGTGCGCATAGCCTGCCGGCGGGTAGGCCGGCGGAGGATACTGCGGCGGGTAACTTGGCGGTGGATAGCCGCCTGGCTGCCCCGCACCGCTGTTTCTTGGTCAAGCGTCTCGAACACTGCAAGCGAGTTTGGGGGTTTGGGACATTGCTGTCAGGCGATATGCACGAATGTACCTGAATCGCCCTCGAGGTGTAGTGTACGGTAGTGGCAAGCGTTCTGGAGCCTTCAAGCTCTGATGGTGTCGCACGTTTAAACACAGCACAGGTACCGACAGTCTTACAACAACTGGTGCCCCGATCCAGTGCATCGAATTATGCATGAGCCGCCGTCACAACCACGCCCCAACATGACAAAAGCTGACACTATGCTTGCAGAAGATATTGTCTGGCAAGCACAGCATTCTAATCATAATTCAACAGCCAAGCGCCTCCTTGCACGTCACCTCTGCTCTAAATCTCATAGTAGACTTAGAAAACTCACGTGCCTGGTGGAGGATACGCAGGTGGAGCACCATATGCAGGTGGTGGATAGCTGTAGCCAGGCGGCGGATAATATCCTGGGTATGCTGGCACCTGGTAGCCGTGCCTTCCGTAGGGGTCGTAACGCGGATCGTACGCAGGATAGGATGCGTAGGGCCCATAGGGGTCCCTGTAGTAATCATCATACCGCCGCCCGTATGGGTCATGCGCAGACCTGGCCGGCGGAACGTCTGCGTAGGGGTCCTTGCTAGAAGCCTGACGATTGTCTCCGCCCCAGGCAGATGCAAGCTCGTGCTTGGATTGCGAGTCGTCAGCCATGCTTCCAGCCGTGGAGCTACGGGTGTGTGGGTCAGGTTTTGGGCTTACTGGACGGAGTCCGGCTGAGTGTGGCACCTGAGAGCTCTTTTTATGCGACTGCAGAGCTAAGTAATGGTGACGGGGATGCAAGCTAGCAAGTTGGATGAAGGGCGTGGGTGTGGGCGCGAATTCCTGCATGCTCGTAGCTACCATTGTGTATGCAGCTGCTGTGGTAAGCAGCAGGCAGAGCACCTACTGATGCTAAGTGATACCGAACATCACCCTTCGCGACCCTTCAGATCGTGAGACGGGCAAAACCTGCAGGTTTCTAGTCTGCTAAAAGAGGCACCTGGGGCACTATAGTAGCCAAACTCGAGCCTGTAGCTATTGTACCCATGTCTTGCATCATGTCCAGAACGCCCCCATGGGCAATATGCGGAACTCCGTGCCTCATCAACTCAGATGTTGCATCGTCCTTGGATCCCTTGAAATCTTGTGCGTTGTTCAAACTACGGCTCCCGCGTCTATCACTGTGATGCACTCTTCTTGGGACTTGCTTTGCATGGACCTGAACCGGTGCTCTGCAAGCAACGATGTCACCTAAGATGGGATGAGATGACATTGCGGTAGCTTCTGTCGCCTGATTATATCACTACCATCGAACTCAGGGTTCAGGACGAGATGTGAACCCAGGATCTTGGGGCTCTTGGAAAAGGCGCGAGTTCAACCGGAGGACCAGCTTGGAAGCGAACATACGACTGCCAAACTCATCTCTGGATCACCGAAACACCGAATAACCACAATTACTCGAGCATCAGAAACACGAACAGTTCGGATTCGGTTTCAAGTGTCGCAAGTCCGACACTGCATGACATGTGAGGTTCGGAAAGCTGCGGATGCCACCACTGATTCGATGGCGCTCTCTTCCGCAAAACCCCCCGTGTCAGGGTCAAAAGGGCATGGGCTACAAGTAGGAGATAATCACAATGACAAAACACGGAGGAGACACGAAACGAGGGAGAGGCGTATGCGTATGCATCACACATATCTACATACCCTCGATAAGGTGGCCTCAGAATTTTAGTTGCTATGATATTAAACATTACAAACATGGGTGTGCCCTAGAAGCCCTCAAGCAACAAACGACAGAGCCCGTCCTTCTTTTGACTGGCATGGCGCTGGTGCAGGTCTCAAAAGCAGACGCGCCGTTGCAGCTCAAGCCCAGCATCTAAATTGACAATTCGGCTAAAGCTTGTCACTTGGCACCGGAAAGGTTGGACTTCGCCTCCAACAGGGCTTCGACCTGGCCGATGTCTAATGGCACTCAAGACACGGCAAAGGTGACAGATGGTGCTTCCAGGCCTCGTCGGCTCGGGCCTTCTGACGCGCATCGAAGTTTTCCACCAAAAAGTCACAGGTCTCGTGCAGGTCTTCTTTGAGACCCGCCAGGTTCTGGACTTCGGCGTGGGCACCTAAACGGCCACAAGAGGTCACAGGTGCCCCTTGCTCACTTGCTCTCCGTGGCCCCTTGCCTTCTTTGGACTGGCGGGCTTGCACCATCCTCTCGCTTAGCTTTGCTTTCTGCTCCGCCTGGCAGCGTCCCCCTCGCACCGTCGCACCCCTGTGCTGATGTTCACCGGTGCAGCAGTTACTGCTCGGCCTGGTCTTGAAGCTCTTTGTCTTTCGCGTCCAGGGCCGCAATGGTCTCCTGCAGGGAAACCACACGTGGCAAGCATGGATGCAGAGGCCGGCAACGGAGCAAGAAACACCTGCGCAGCTGGAATCAATGCATGAGAACCTGGCCATATCAAAATGTCGCCCTTCGGCAGCTTCCCACACTTCCGACCATGACTTCGCGGGGTCCGAAGTCAACAAATCAACGAAACAAGCTTAGAAACGATCTTTTTGCATCAGGACTTGTGCAATCGCCTGAAGGCCTGAGCATACGGTTTAGAAACGATCTCCTTGCCGAAGTCTTCGTAGTCCTTCTGAGCTTCTCGCTCGGCTGCAGTAGATTCCGCTTCCATCTCCTATCTTTGCATATCAGGGATGTTTTCGGACGAAACAGCCCGACGAACTCCAATCCGGCGCAACACGAAGGCCAGGAGGAGCTTTCAAGCTCCCGATCATGTCTCCTTGGCATCTGCAACCAGATGCTGGAGCATCATCATGACCTGAAGCCAAACATCAACACACAAAAGCTCGGGCAGCCAGGGGCTCCCGAGCAGATGCAACTCATGAAGCCCACATGACCCGAATCATTTTGGCCGTGTTGCGCCGTGGTTGGCCGAATTCTTCTTGTAGCCACCAAAAGTCTCCGGCTCCTTGGGATTGGCCTTAGCCGCGAAGGATTGAGAGTTGCGGGCAAAACACTGCAGCCGGCGAGCCTTTTGGAGGAAGGAACCTTCGTCCTTCTTGTTGTAGAAAGCAGCCAGAACACTGAGTGCATTTTTCAGAAGGACCTGCCAAGGCCCGACGGGAAATGCAAAGGAATTAAGTTTTGATTCGGCTTTGTCGCACTACCCCGAAAAAAACCCGCTACCACCCTCCGACTCGACCCCATCGTCCACGAAACGGACCTGTGTTTGGCGCTGCTCTTCCACGACTTTCTGGAATTCGGCATTCTCCTTCTCTCTGTTTTGTGCGGCCAGCTTCCTTAGTGCAGGCGGGCGTAAACACTTTCTCCGCTAGCGCCAGGTTGTGTATCCACCCCATGCCGGCTTGTGCCGGCAACTGTCAAAGGAGCAAGGCTCTGCGATGGAGCTGCGGCGAGAGCAACTCTCAGACTCTTGCACATCTTATTGGTTGCTTGATCTCGCTGCCAGGCGACTGCTGCTTCTTAAGCTCGCCCACCTGTGCCTTAAACAACAAGTTTATCGGCAGCATCTCTGTGATGCTGCGAAGTTACTGCCGGTTTTTCTGGCCTGGACATCTTCAGTCTGCATGTCCAGGGCCTTGACTTTCTGCTTTAAGTCCTGCGGTTCCACTCAGAAGGAACTTGGCCTAGTTGCTGGCGGATGCCCACCTCTGCTGCAGCTGAGAATTCGTCTTCTTCTCGTTTCTTATCGTCGGAAGCAAGCCTTTCACAACGTCTTCACAAACATCCTTTACAAAAGCACCCATATTGCGAGCGGCGCCTGTTTTTCTGCAGCTCTTCGATGCAATAGTCCTTCTTCTTCACTTCGGCTGCCTGCTCCTCCTTGAGTGCAGCGACCATGGCGTCGATCTGCGTTCGCACCTGGGAAGACATGCCTTCGCTGAGAGCTACTTTCGTGAAGCATCACAACACCGCGATTATTGTAGCACTCAGGCGCACCGCCATTTTCCGATCGAGCATTCGATACAGCGGCTGCAGAAGCTGCAGCGATCCCTTGTCGAAACCCTGCTCCCATCGCCTGAATTCTTCTAATTCGGCGAGTAGCTTCGCACAGCGGTTGCCTTGATTTATCAGCATCATCGCTTTGGATGAGCCACACTTTCTGAGACGGGTTGTTTGATCATCTGCACGAAGCCCAAAGCTTCCAGGAACTGGAGAACCATCAGGCCACAGAAGATCACCGGTCTCGGACACGCAGGGGTAATGTGCATATTTTTGCGGATCGGCCGCATGCAGCCGGCACAGCCGCGCCAGGTTGGAAGCGCTCACGTCCTCGGGCCAGCTGTCTTCATGTTTCGCGGGCAAAAGCAGGACCCCCGTGACGAAAAAACAAATCAGAATTCTACCGAATCAGAGCCCTCCAAGCGTCCCGGCCAACTCGGCAGTGCCCAGATGGAGAAATGAGCCGCATTTGAAGGGCTATTTTGGAAGCTTCCAAGTAACCATGGAAATAGCGAATGCGGGGATGGTCCACTACCTCGGGGTCCCCACAAGAGCCCACCCCAACGACTTCCCTTTGGGCCCTTATCAAACCTGTCATGAGCCCCAAGCCTTTTTCTCCGCGACTTGGTGAATGAAGGCTGCCACAAAGGGTGGGCCAAACATGGCCATGTCGCGGGCAGCCTGCACTGTCTGATTCACAAAATCAGCACCACCAACTCCCCCAAATTAGATGGGACCTGAACGTCACCTTGGCCATTGTCACCCAAGAAGACCGCCTCGACAGGTGGTCCCATCACCATCTGATGCAAGTACCGGCATGCAAGCACAGCGTCCATGTACCAAGACTTCAGGGAGGCCCAGGGAGGCCTTTTGCTGGCCAATGTCGTTGCCCAAGACTTCCTGGCACCACGCTCAATCTCCTGTTCATTCTGCGGGTTGGGTTGCACCGCTGGCATACACTCAAAGCCTCCCAGTTGCGCAGCTTCGTTCGCCCGAAGGGTCGGAAGTCCCCCAGCAGCGCGGGGAACACGTCGCGGATGCGGCCATACTTGGAGCCTGGTGTAAGGGCCGACTAAATCTGCCACACTGCATCACCCGTTTTTCTCTGCCTTCTGCCTAGTAACCTAGTAGTATATTTGTTCTGCGGCCCTGCGGCCTTGGAAGTCACAAGTGGCTGGAGTGGGGATTTTGAGGGGACCCGAGAAGTGCCTTGGAAGTCAATGCCCCAGCTTGGCAGCTCGTTGGCCTTGGCCACGCGCTGGAACTCCCGGGCAACCTGCAAGACACCGGGCCAGGCGCCAACCGGGCGAGAAGACAAAGCAGGGCAAACACAGAAAAAGCGCCTGCGATGCACACAGTACGACGAACCATCTGCAGAAACCCATTCTGCGAACCTTACTGGTGGGCTTCATGCGCAAGAAGCCAAGCCTCAGAGTGGCCCGAATGCACGCGAATGCACCGTCGAGAATTTGCACCAGGTAACTTTTCCGGCCGTGCCGACAAAAGCCGAACGTTGGGAGGAGGCCTGCAGCGTTGATTCATTACAGGACAGGGCTTTGAGCATCCATGCCATGCACTGGAGTCCTGTCTTTGCTGAAGGTGCCCGCTGTGCGGCCACGTGCGATCTCGAGCATGAACTGCACAGCCCCCGGATAGATCTCCTTCCTCGAAATGCGGCCAAAACAGGAGTAAGCGAACTCATCAGATATGGTTTCGCCACATGCACAACTTATGTCTTGCTGATAGTCATACATCGCCGATCGTCCGATAGCCGCACTCGTCAATGCCGCCGCCACGCGGCCCTCCAGAGCACTTGATCGTATCATCAACGTCCGACAATATCCTGGATGTCTGCTCCTATCGGCTTCGGGTCATTCCGAAAAGGCTTGCCAGCTGGAAGAATACGGCATGGGGTGTTCGGTTGGTTTGCCAGGTGTCACGTTGCTTCCTCTGAGCCAGGAACTGGGCCCCGACGGAGCGACGCCACCAACGAAGCAAGGCACCCTCAAGAGCTTCTCAGTCTCTCGGACTTCCCAGAAATTAGGCTAGCAAGACATGACGACCCGTCGAGCCTGCGCAAACCGCAGCTTCATCCCAATCGTGGGTGAAGCGCGACGGACAACAAGCCGGCCTCTGAGGCATTCTCTGCATCGATTTGCCGGGCGCCTCCACTCGGTGACTGTTAAGAGGGACACAAGTCTATCTAAAACACTTAAACAAGCAGTGGAGAAAACTGAAACTCCTGACATCTGCTTCGGGGAACCATGCGACGCCTTCTTTCCAATGCCAGGACGCGTGGGGGCCGCTCTAGTCGCGGGACGAAGCTCAGACTTGCCTGCATCCCAGCATAAAGACTGCGCGGCATGCATGAAACAGTCCATGAAGTCCCGACGCGGGTGCTTGGCCTGTTCATGCGTGGCCAACTGCACCCACATCGACATGAGACCAAGCAGCATAAGAAGCCATGCCAGCAGCATGAAGCCAACTCAAGTTCAGCAAAACTCAAGCACGTAGCGCACTCATGCAGTGTAGGTTTGCGGTCAACAGCTGTGAGGCAAGGGTCAATCACTACCAACATGTAACCTGCGGAACCAAGCACAGATGGCATGCAAGCCCTGGCAGTACCTGTTCTTGACTCTATCACAGAACTCATTCTCCGGATGCAATAATGTCCTTTGGAGCAAGCTTGACGTGTCGCCTCCACTCTTTTGTGCTCGCCCGCTGCTCCTGGTACTTTGGAGCCATCATTCTCGCCCTTTGCACAAAAACATTCAATGGCAGAGCCGATCACAGGCCGCTGCCTGCACCAGAGTAGGAGCCGTAGAAGAAGACGGCCAGGAGGCCAACCGCGGCCGTGCCCGCCAACAGGCCCAAGAAGACGAGGGGAAACCTTGTAGGCTCGCCACCCGTCGCCGCCATGCTCACTTGCACCGACCGGCCCTCCGTCTGAAAGGTGGGTGCCTGGGCGAATGCTCCAGCCTCGGCCTGTGGGGTGGAGCCGCG